CAAATAAAATATGTTAACATTGGTACCCAAATTAAGGATCTTGTTTGAAGTAGTACGTCTGTGAAATATGAAAGCCCTAGAGGAAACCATTGAAAAGATATGGAAATGGTTAAATAATAGTCAAACATCAAAATCTAATGGTCAAAATTAATGGTGCTCTAGGAATAGCCTTCTCAAAAGAAATTAAAAATGTGAAATATGAAAGCCCTAAAACAAGTATTCAAAAGGTATGGCCAAGGTTAAATTTTTTCAAAAGTGGGTCAAACTCAAAAGTCAAGGTCAAAGGTTTAATGTTGTTGGTATCCAAGAAGGTCTTCTCACAACGGTTATTATTATTTACAGTTAACTGTAAAGTTTTACGTTAAGTCACGATCTTTTTCGCCTAAACAATTCATGTGATTGGTCAACTCATATTATCAACATTGACACGGAAATATTCCGTTGCACGAGCAACCAATCAGGGATAAGAAGAAAGTTCCAGTCATAAAGATTGCGGTTAGGAGGCGTGTACTATTTACCTTGAACGCAGATGTCAAATAGATCGTGACGTAACGTAAAACTTTACAGTTAACCTCAAACAATAATAAACATGTGAAGTATGAAAGCTCTAGCACCAACTGTTCAACTTATGGCTAAGGTAAAAGTCAGGGAAAATTTTGCAAAACTGGGTAAAATTCAAAGGTCAAGGTCAAATATGATAGTCTTGTCACAAGAAGTACACAAGTGATATAATGAGCACCAACCAATTAAAAATTATGGGCAAGGTTCAAGTTTTTGCAAAAAGACAAGACAGATACATGTACATGGACAGACAGGGCAAACACTATCCCCCCTCCCAACGCAAATCTTCAATTACCTCACAATAAAACCATGTTGTTTTAAGTCAATACAACAGTACCTGAACTTGGTTGGGTCCTTGTTATAAGTACACCATGATGAGGAACACTGATTGTGGTCTCCAAATATGTGAGGAACAACTGTTGCCAACTCAGCTCCCAGAGTTTCCTTGCAGCCCTGATGTTTGGAAATGGTGTACATAAAACATCTAACAATGTACGGAATTACTCCTGTAGACTTAAGCTGTTTATGTCTTTTGGAAAGACTTTAGAGAGAGGAAGACAGATTTTTATTGATGTGCGATTTGTCAGCTTTCTTGATGATGGTAGAAGGTAATCTGGACTGTGTTGTTGTATCATTGTCTGCATGCAGTGTTCCAATTTCATGACCCTTTTCTGCCATTTTCTTGATGATACAGCATGCCATATCTGGCTCCATTCATTTGCTTGATCCTTTAGAAATCAAATAAAAACAATACAAATTCAAGAAACTGAAATATTATTCTCAGTTTAGTTGTTTTATTATGTATGAAGTATTAAAAAAAATATTTTAACAATTTAAACTTTCCTTTACCCAAGAATGTTGGGTAATTCCCACACCAAATTATTTTGGGATCTGGTACTTTGAATTTTGGCAGATACAGTACGTAAAAATCTCTGATACACGTACTAAATGTTTAAAACATTTAACGAGACCGAGTCTAATTCGAGTTTTCGCGCTTTGCGCATGTTTTCGCGCAGCTTTGCATTTTCATGTAGTCGTTCGTGTGAGGTAGTATCAGTCTTTAGTTTTTATTTTTCTAAATCCAGAATTAACATTATAGAAACGCATATTAGTAGTACATATCATATGCAAGTGATAAATTTCAATTTTATCGCTGAATGTATTTTACGACATAAATGACAGCTCGACCAGTTTGCGGTATTGACGTTCCTAGCAGAAGACTGGGAACGGTGAAGCGGTAAAAATTTCAAGTATGACTCGTACTTGAGATGGCACGGGGCGTTTCACCAAGAAGTCAATGACGGAACATCGTAGGAAACGAATAAGTAATTCACAGAAGTCCATTTCTTTGCAAAATGACTCTTTTACACCAGCTGCTGGCAGCGCTTTATACCTTGACCATTCTTATCAGAGCACTTTACAGCCTCCCGATGTTGGGAAACTATCTCAAGATGCATTTGATGATATAAATGAACTTTTTTTTCTGGCAAATTGAAACCATTGAACTCATCACGTTTTGTTATTGATTTACATACTTTCTGTACAAATATGAAATGTACAGTTTGCGCAAGAAATGTTTTGTTGGAGGACGCGGTGAGAGTTTTACCTGCGGGAGTTAATGGCCAATTAATAGTTAAATGCTGGTCATGTTCCGAGTTTATACGTGTGGCGATGGACAAGACACATAGTGGGAAAGGAGATACCAATACGGGACCCAAGATTTTTGATGTAAACACCAAGCTAGCAACAGGTAGGCCTAATGTGACAAAAAAAAACCTTGTGTACAATATATGTAATTATACCCGCACTTTCTAAAAAGAAAGTTCGGGTATATTGTTGTTACTCATGTCCGTCCGTCCGTCTGTCACACTTTTCTTCCCTGAACTCCTCCTACATTTTACACAGTAGCTTAATCATCTTTTGGGAGATGGTTGGTGGGGTCATGTAGATGTGCAGTAAGGTTTCGGAATTTTGATTTTGCCCCGGGGGGTCAAATGGGGGTCGAAAAATGATGTTTTTTATGCTAAAAGCCCCGTCTTCCCTGAACTCCTCTTACATTTTACTCAGCAGCCTAATCTCCTTTTGGGAGATGGTTGGTGGTGTCATGTAGATGTGCAGTAAGGTTTCGGAATTTTGATTTTGCCCCGGGGGGTCAAATGGGGGTCGAAAAATGACGTTTTTTATGCTAAAAGCCCCGTCTTCCCTGAACTCCTACATTTTACTCAGCAGCCTAATCATCTTTTGGGAGATCGTTGGTGGTGTCATGTAGATGTGCAGTAAGGTTTCGGAATTTTGATTTCGCCCCGGGGGGTCAAATAGGGGTCGAAAAATGACATTTTTATGCAAAAAGGCCCGTCTTCCCTGAACTCTTCTTACATTTTACTCAGCAGCCTAATCACCTTTTGGGAGATGGTTGGTGGTGTCATGTAGATATGCAGTAAGGTTTCGGAATTTTGATTTTGCCCCGGGGGGTCAAATGGGGGTCGAAAAATGACGTTTTTTATGCTAAAGGCCCCGTTTTCCCTGAACTCCTTCTACATTTTACTCAGCAGCCTAATCACCTTTTGGGAGATGTTTGGGGGTGTCAAGTAGATGTGCAGTAAGGTTTCAGAATTTAGATTTTGCCTCAGAGGGTCAAATGGGGGTCGAAAAATGACGTTTTTTTATGCTAAAAGCCCCGTCTTCCCTGAACTCCTTCTACATTTTACTCAGCAGCCTAATCACCTTTTGGGAGATGGTTGGGGTGTCAAGTAGATGTGCAGTAAGGTTTCAGAATTTAGATTTTGCCTCAGAGGGTCAAATGGGGGTCGAAAAATGACATTTTTTATGCAAAAAGCCCCGTCTTCCCTGAACTCCTGTTACATTTTACTCAGCAGCCTAATCACCTTTTGGGAGATGTTTGAGGGTGTCAAGCAGATGTGCAGTAAGGTTTCAGAATTTAGATTTTGCCCCAGGGGGTCAAATGGGGGTCGAAAAATGACATTTTTTATGCAAAAAGCCCCATCTTCCCTGAACTCCTCTTACATTTTACTCAGCAGCCTAATCATCTTTTGGGAGATGGTTGGTGGGGTCATGTAGATGTGTAGTAAGGTTTCGGAATTTTGATTTTGCCCCGGGGGGTCAATTGGGGGTCGAAAAATGATGTTTTTTTATGCAAAAAGCCCCGTCTTCCCTAAACTCCTATTTCATTTTACACAGTGGCCTAATCCTCTTTTGGGGGAGTTCACCCTTTTGAAATTTTGGTTAAACATCAAGGTCAAGGGGTAAAAAATCATAGCATGTTGGGAAACATCTTGTTACAGTTATGGGTAATGTACACGTGAAATGTGAAAGTCGTATCTCTTCTCAATCAAAAGGAAATACAACATTATTGAAAAGTAAGTAAAACTTCAAGGTCAAGGTCACAGAGTCAAAAAGTCATGATACATTTGGAAAGGTCACAGGTAATATACATGCTTGTATAATATGAATGCCCTTTCATTTATCTTTCAAAATGATCAATTTAAAACAATTAATTTGTTTATGACAGTAGGTCAAACTTCAAGGTCATGGGTAATAAAAATCATAGTGTATTTAGAAAGGTATTGTCCCTGTTAAATACTAATACACATGTTTAATATAGAAGTCATGTCTCTTCTCATTCAAAATATATGACCATGATGACCAAGGTTAAATTTATTGTGACAGATGGACAGACTGACAAACAAATGAGATTTAATGTCCCCTTAGCTAAAATGGGGGACAATAAATGTCCTTGCTGTTCTTGAGAAGAAGATTTATGTTGGAAAAAGTCCCCTGCATATTTACATGTAAATTGGTTGAAATTGGCCCAGTGGTTCTTAAGACGTTAAGAATGTGAAAAGTTTGCAGACAAACAGACGGACGACAGAAAACAGTACATTTCAGAAAACAGTATGCTTGTAAATAGTTAATCAAGGTGCTTTGGGTAGCAAAATAAAGCTAAACTGGTATATCTAATTCATCCGCAGAGCTTAGTATATTTCATTTTGCACAACCTTTTCAACTCTTATAATAATTATTTTTAAAATATTTATATCACCATGTCTGATTTAAGGGAGAACTAGAGATATGACCAGAAGTATATCTGTTGAATATAAAATATGTGCATGTATACTGTGTTTTTCTTAGTAATTTGTTTGTTTGTTGTGACAACAACTGTTATGGCAGCTTTTGGCAAAGGTTGAAGTTTCTCAAATGTAAGTCAAACTCCAAGGTCAAGGTCAAAGGGTCAAAATTGTTGGTATCAAAGGGAAAGTCTTGTCACAAGGAATACACATGTGAAATAAGAGAGAAATCCCTAGTACTTCCTCACCGTTCAAAATTTATTGCTTAGGTTAAAATTAAATTGGGTTCAACTCTAGGTCAAGGTTAAAAATATTTATACCTGTTTAAAGTTCACAATGATTACACATGTTAAGCATGAAAGTCCTAGCACCAACTATTCAAAACTTAGGCCAAGTTTAAGATATTTTTCTTGTAAAAGTGGGTCAAACTCCAAGGTCAAGAGATCAAGAGGTCAAAATTGGTGGTACCCATTAAAAGGTTTTGCCAAAATAAATTTACCTATGAAATGTGGAAGCCATGTGTATAGCCAAATCCACTTAAAACGTATGGGCAAGGTAAAAGTTTCTGTGGACAAACAAACAGACATAAACATGCAGAAAACAAAAAATGTATATATAGTGAAATGGAAAAATTTTCTACTATTATGGAGTCATAAGATCAGGTATAGGGAATCAGTGGCTAGGGAGATCAGACCCCCCCCCCTTATAATTTGCAGTTATTTAAATAAGACTATTTACTGAAGAGAATAAAAATGACTTTGGAGGATCCCCCTTAGAAAACATGGACCCCACCATCATTGTTTTTTTTATTTGCTTCTCAGGAAATCTTGTGCTGGATTTTTTTTTTTGACTGAGGTGTGACACACCCCCCCCCCCCTCCCCTTTCCGAAAAAAAATTCTGGGTCTGCGCCTGTATCTATTGAATGTCCGCAACGGGAGATAACTAGACAATGTGAAATTTGTCGACTGTGGCATGCGATGATCTTTGACCCTTTTTGAACTTCAACCTAACCATTTGCATTTATCTATTTTTATGCAGTCTATACTAAATCTTGTATTTACCGAATGTCATAGGTATTGTCAACGAATTCATGAAATATAATCCATATAATCCAATTAAAACACAACTGATTTAAACTGACCACACTGCACCGTCAGCATACATGTGCTAAATAATCTAATTCCGCAAACCTTTGCTGATTCCGTCGCCTTCATTAGATGAAGTATGAATCGGCCGAGGTGTGCCGAGTGGTGACATCTAAAAATATTATAATGGATGACGCAAACCCAATGTGAATGTAGAAATTTTCAATAAGATGTTCACACGTAAAACTGTTTAGTACAAGAACAAATTTCAAACTATCATAATAAACGACGTTTTAACATAACTTTGCCATCTAGGTTTACTTTAAAAAAATGTGTGTGTGAGAGAGTGTGTGTGTGTGTGATGGCGGGGGGGGGGGGGGGGGGGGAGAGAGAGAGAGAGATAGGCATTGACAAATTAGTTGGGTTGTATTTTCAATGTATTTTTTTTTTCCTGACCAAATACTAAAATCAGTTTGCACATTTTGATAAATTCATCAAAAACGCTTTTTACTAAAATAATATTTTATGTCGTTGAGAAGGTAAATTTAAAAAGTTCCAAATTATGGGCAAAATATTTATCAGAATCTAATTAAGTAATTTACTTCATTAATTAAAGTCTGTTAATGAATTAAGTATACAAAATACATATATGAGGCTCATAGATCATATGGTCAGCTGAAAATTTTATGCTCAATTTGACGATAGGTACGGTGTACGTGTACGGTGATAATTATAGAATTATTTTGACTTTTTCCTTGAAAAGTCCAATATGAAGGAGTGTGTATTTAGAGGCAAACACCTTAGTGCGGGTATTACTGTCTCATGACAGCATCTAGTTTTATAAGTCTATATATCCATTATCCAAGTATCTCATTGTTTTGGTTATTTCCTATCTTTTGCATTGCTCTCACAATACAATTTATAGGTTAAAAATCAAGGTGAAAAAATGAATTTTAAACTTCAAGTTTTTGAATTTCACTTTCAACAAATACTTGATGGTACCCTGTATTATTTTACCTCTTTTAAATAATAAAAAGTAATAAGGAAATATATGTAATTAAAGTAAATTTAAGTTAATACAAATACCACACGAAAGTTGTTTTTATTTAATAGCAATGTACCATATTGGAATTGGACCAACTCAGCTAAAAAACTTTTTGTCAGTGTTAAATCTTCCAATGCCTGCATCCAAGACAATACAGAGGAGATGTGAGGAAGTTGGCTCTACACTTGAGAGGTTGGCTTGTGAGTCAACTGATAAAGCCCTCCAAAGAGAAGTTGAATTGTCAACTGAAGGTATTGTAAGAGATACTTCAATTTCTATCATGCGTAGCAAATCATTTATATATCTGGTTACCAAACAACATGTTGCAACTTTCATCAGAATCTAAATCAAGTTGGTCAATGGTTATGTGATGATATCAAAAAGCCCAAAAGGTTGACTGAACAATATGTTTTTATACAAAATTTCAGGCACAGAAGGGCTATAAAAAACAGTTTTGGGAAATGTTTTGTTGTGGAATTAGTAAAAAAAAATATGCTAGGAACACAGTTAAATCTGCAGTTTGAACATTATATTAGAATTGCTCATCTTTCCTTTATTGGTCTTTTTTGCAATTTCAAATTACATATTCTAACTTTATCAAACATATTGTAGTTTCACCACTTTTGATGTGTGCTGATCAATCCACTGGAATTTCAGTAACAGACAGTCCTGATCAAACTGTCAACATTGGTGCTCCTGCCCAAGATAATTACTTAACAGATGAAGAATGTATTTAGCTCAACTTAGCTGAAGGCCAAAGTGAGCTTTTCTGATCAAAAATTGACTAGCTAGCTGTTGACTGCGGTTGTTGTCACTGAAAACTTTTCACAATTTAATTCATTTTCTTATCCAAACTCGACACAGAAAATCAGGTTTGTTCAAATCCTGACCCCCAGGGATAGGGTGGGGCCACAATGTCTGTCTGTCTGTTTCAACTTTAACCTATAACTCATAACTATTCAATGTCAAGGGCAAGTGTATACCACTTTATTCTACATCCCATTCAAGAATTGTGTTTCAATCGGGGGCATAGAGTGTTTCATAAACACATATATAGACCACTGAGAGCTACAGTGCCAGTACCCATTGAAAAAACTGTATATTTATTGCGCACAAAAAAGTGCGCTATTTCTGGATTAATTCTTCAAAATTCTTACCTCAATTGCAACCAGAAGTCTCTGTCGAGACTGAAGCTCTACTGGTTTGAACTTATAGCAAAGGAAGAGAAGAGTACTTAAGCAGCTGGGATTTGAAACTTTACAACAGCAATATATAGAATAATGATCGTTGATAAAGTCTCTTTATGTTCTTAGTGTAGTCTACTTGTGTGCCAAGTTATATTGAAATCAGACCAAAACTGTAGGAGGAGTAGCATTTTGAAACAATTTTACAGACATTTCAATTTTTAGTAACCACGGCAACACAGTTCATCAAAATTAAAATTTGATACACAGAATTATGTATCTTAGTGTATTCTACTTGTGTGCGAAGTTATATTGAAATCAGACCAAAACTGTAGGAGGAGTAGCATTTTGAAACAATTTTACAGAAATTTCTATTTTTAGTAACCACGGCAACACCGTTCATATAAATCAAAAACCGATACACAGATTTATGTATCTTAATGTATTCTACTTGTGTGCCAAATTAAACTGAAATCAGACCAAAACTGTAGGAGGAGTAGCATTTTGAAAGAATTTCACAGAAATTTCTATTTTTAGTAACCACGGCAACACCGTTCATCGAAATCAAAAACCGATATATAGAATTATGTATCTAAGTGTATTCTACTTGTGTGCCAAGTTATACTGAAATCAGACCTAAACTGTAGGAGAAGTAGCATTTTGAAAGATTTTCACAGAAATTTCTATTTTTAGTAACCACGGCAACACCGTTCATCGAAATCTAAAACCGATACACAGAATTATGTATCTTAGTGTATTCTACTTGTGTGCCAAGTTATACTGAAATCAGACCAAAACTGTAGGAGGAGTAGCATTTTGAAAGAATTTCACAGAAATTTCTATTATTAGTTACCACAGCAACACCGTTCAGCGAAATCAAAAACCGATACACAGAATTATGTATCTTAGTGTATTCTACTTGTGTGCCAAGTTATACTGAAATCAGACCAAAACTGTAGGAGGAGTAGCATTTTGAAAGAATTTCACAGAAATTTCTATTTTTAGTAACCACGGCAACACCGTTCATCGAAATCAAAAACCGATATACAGAATTATGTATCTTAGTGTATTCTACTTGTGTGCCAAGTTATACTGAAATCAGACCAAAACTGTAGGAGGAGTAGCATTTTGAAAGAATTTCACAGAAATTTCTATTTCTGGTAACCACGGCAACACCGTTCATCGAAATCAAAAACCGATACACAGAATTATATATCTTAGTGTATTCTACTTGTGTGCCAAGTTATACTGAAATCAGACCAAAACTGTATGAGGAGTAGCATTTTGAAAGAATTTCACAGAAATTTCTATTTTTAGTAACCACGGCAACACCGTTCATCGAAATCAAAAACCGATACACAGAATTATGTATCTTAGTGTATTCTACTTGTGTGCCAAGTTATACTGAAATCAGACCAAAACTGTAGGAGGAGTAGCATTTTGAAAGAATTTCACAGAAATTTCTATTTTTAGTAACCACGGCAACACCGTTCATTGAAATCAAAAACCGATACCCAGAATTATGTATCTTAGTGTAGTCTACTTGTGTGCCAAGTTATACTGAAATCAGACTAAAACTGTAGGAGGAGTAGCATTTTGAAAGAATTTCACAGAAATTTCTATTTTTAGTAACCACGGCAACACCGTTCATCGAAATCAAAAACCGATACACAGAATTATGTATCTTAGTGTAGTCTACTTGTGTGCCAAGTTATATTGAAATTAGACCAAAACTGTAGGAGGAGTAGCATTTTGAAAAATTGTTTACAGACAGACGGACAGACAGACAGACAGACGGAGACGGACGGACGCCAGACGCATAACTATCGCATAAGCTCTTCTGGTCTCTGACCAGTAGAGCTAAAAAAGCTAGATTTGAATAAAATCTTCACTCCTCTATCAATTACTTTTGTAGATAACATTTGTACGAAGCGCGTTGGACCCAATATCTTACAAACCGAAATGGCAGTATAAATAGGCAAAATTTTCAATTATCTCAATTTCAGGACCAG